TTTTTTTGGAGCATTTTTTGCCTTTAATGGACAGGACAGTTAAGTGTGAAAGGGGGAGAGAGAGGGGATGACATGCAGTAAAGGGCCACAGGCTGGACTCGAACCCGGGCCGCTGCGGCAACAGCCTTGTACATGGGGCGCCTGCTCTACCACTAAACCACCGACGCCCCGACCCAAGAGAAAATCTGCCTCGCAAAGGGAGACAACACGAGACAACACCAACTTTGTGAAACATTTGAGCAACCAAACCGTGACGTCCGTACCGAGGTACTTACTGAACCATGATTTTTTGGTACCGTTACACCCCTACTATTTATTGTTCTAAAGGTTTGTATCCAAAAGGACTTTTCCTTAGGAAAAGTTCCGAAGAGTATCGAAAAGTATCGAAATTCATATTGGTATTGGTACCGAAACAAAGATTTTGGTATCGTGACAACACTAGTTGATTGCGTGGTGTGTGTTCTGAATTTCTGCATTCTCATCATATGGTTAGCTTTCCACATGCTCCCATGCAAGCCACAAATCAATTTTATCATTCATAATGACTGTGTCCATATACCTCCTCTTCTATTGTGCATCAAGGCAGTGAGTGAGTGTGTGAGTTTCTATGGTAGTTGTGGAACAGTCTGTGTCTCTGTGGCGCTCTGAAACGTTCCGCCAATGGTAGTGTTTTTTATGTTAGTATGTGTAAAATCATCCATCATAGTACCTAGTAATATGTGGGAGGGGGGATATGAGACACCACGCCTGTTCTTTCACAAATAAGGAACTGATGATCTAAAATGACATAAAAATGCATATTTTTTTTGTAAAATAATATGAAAATTTTTCACCCCTGGCTGGCCGATGTGCTGCCATGGGGCCTCTGTGTCAAAAATGCCAGGGCCTCTTTTTGGTCCCAGTCCGTCACTGGCTGGCACTGTGCGCGATGGGTGGCTTCTTGGTGAGTAATTTATTTGTTTAATTGTCCTTAATCCCACTGATGCGCACTGAGCATGTGCGCCCCCAAATATTATCCTGTCTTCACAGCATCAGTACTAGTCAGTGGTTAAAGTTAGTGACTTGCTGTTTTTTGCTGGTTAAACTACAGCTTCAGAGCTTTCTAACAAGCCCCTGATTGTCTCTGTGTGTAAAATACTCATGTCAATAAACCCGTGAGTAAAGTGTGACATTTCTTAATCAGCCACACCCACTCACTCCGCTTACGTTTAGTATTGATGCCAGAGGACAGCGTGCCAAAAAGTACATTTTTGTGCACCTCCACTTCAGTGAGCGACTCCAATTCACATTCTGTTGAGTTTTTCTTTTTTCCTGTCTTACTCATTCTTTTGTTTTAGTTTTCTGATCGTGCAGAGAGGGGAATCTCAGGTGCAGGGTTCATTTAAATATGATTTGCATATTTAAATGGGGGCGTGGACAGGGAGGGGCCGGGTACTCCAACATGTGCCCTCAATTCCACGTTGATTGGGATGTACAAAGGAAATGTGCTTGGATTCATGTGTACGCACAGATTCATACATCTGGATATTTTTGTGCGTACAACGTTTTCTGTATTTAAGTGTACGCCATGTAATCCACCCAAGTCTTTGTGCATGAGGCCCCAGGTACTCAGGTACTTCTGTGTTTTGGTACCAAATTTACCTAAACACAGAAGTCGACTGCTATTTAACGCAACTATAAGGAATTTGTAACCAGTTAGGAAACAGTCTCAATTTTATATTGATGCCTCTATATCAAACGGCAAAGCAGCCCACTGAGAATAGACCCAGATCTGGCTTTGCTGTTGCCTTTGACCTGCAGTCGGAGCTCCAGTGAAAGACAGCAGCGGCTCCACCTACAGCCAGGAGCAGAGCTTCAGCTCACTGCTCTGGCAGTGTCCATCTGCACCGCCCTTTCCTACACTGGAGCACAACAAAAATGTCATGTAAGTGATAATGCAAGTGTTCTCAGGTTTAGTAAAAAACATTACTAATGTGATTGTTGAGTGGCAGGGCAGTGGAGAGGGGGGCAGTTATACTCAGGCACATTACAAATCAATCATACCTACTATGAAAACAGCCTGAGACACAAAACATGGAAAAATAGAGTCCAGGTTGAAAAATAATAAAGTTACCCATTTATTTTCAGGGTAGATGTTAGTCATCTGATGTTTAGAAATTGGGAGATGTAACATGAAAATGGCCGTAAACATGAAAAATGAAATACAAAATGGTTTAGATGTAAGAACAGTAATGTTTCAGAATGATTAAAGCCTCAAATCAGTAGAGATTTGTGACATGAACTGAAGAGAGCCATTCGTCAAAGACATTCCTGAAATAGCCTATAATTGAAGTTGTTTACAGAGAAAATGTCTAAAATTGCTCCTGGTCAGTGTGCAGAACATGCAGGATATATTTAGTTAAGATTCAAGATTCAAGAGGTTTATTGTCATACGCACAGTAGAAAAACTCAGCGGTTTGCACCGTACAATGAAATTCTTAATTGCCAGTCTCCCTTCACACAAGACAATAAAATGAAATAGAATTTAGAAGTCACTGCTGTAAGATAATGCTTAACTCATTACTAAAAGCCAAGCTAATACTTTCTGTTTCTAAACTGGCTGTGAATGTTCAAGCACATAATTCAATAAATGTACCAAAACATGCAATTGTTTCATGTTACTATTTCAGGCAAATGTAGCATGTCCATTATTATGACTTTAAATAATATCAGACCACATTGTATGACTGAATTATGCAAAAATGCAGAGAAAATCAGAGGTTGGCACTGTACTCTGTCCTGTCTGTCAGCATCTGAATGTGCATTCTCTCTGTCTCCGCTGAGAGCTGTGCTACAGACACGAGAAGACTGACGTTCTTTTTAAACACGAGAACAACTGTAGACTTGAGTTTTGCCTCCTGCAGAAGAAGTGAAAACTACTCTGGGCTAAATGGCCATTAAAATCTTTCACTGCAGTAATTTTCTGCTGCAGTTTCTACCTGTCCTCATTTATTCAACTTCATAAAACAAGAAAAACATTATAATATACAAATAAACTTGTAGTTTTTGGCTAGTAGTTTTAGTAGTTCCTCACAAAAAAATAATTTCCTGTGTGCAGCAGAAACATTTTTATCTATTTACCTCTCCATGGTTACACTTGGTTATTATGAGTTTATATGCAGAGTTTTATCAGGAAACAGGGCACTGGGTAACATGCAGATTGATGTATCTTATTTGACGTTTTATCTTGTGGTTCGTTTGTGTATTTTCCATTTAATTCAGTTGCTTGCTGTTTTTGGTAAATGTCACATCTTAGCGTGTCCTGATACAATGATTTGTTTGATATCTAGTGAATTAGCAGCACCCAACAAATTAGTGTCTCCACCAGTTAGGTCAGGTTTTGGAAAAGAATCATGATCGGTGTTAAGTAACATAGGTTTAGAAAAAGAAACATAGTTAGGGGTCGTCAGGATGCCTCCTTAAAGGGATAGTGCACTCAAAAATGAAAATTCAGCCATTATCTACTCACCCATATGCCGAGGGAGGCTCAAGTGAAGTTTTAGAGTCCTCACATACCTTACGGAGATCCAAGGGGAGAGGGGGTAACAACAAAATTCCACCTAATGGAGGCTTATGGCACCCCAGATTGGTTGTTGGGGTGCACTATCCCTTTAATGTTAAGTTATGCACTCATTGTAAAGTTACTTAGATTAGACTTGGGTTAAGAGACATGGTTGGGGGTCGTCAGGTTATGTACTTAGCGCAACGTTAAGCTGGGAGGAAGTACCTTTAGTTCACTCACTTTCACACAGTTCTGAACAGCGGTCTCCTTGAGGAAAAAGTCCTTTGTTTGACACATCCATCACCCTAATTTGCTTTCTCCCTTATGTGCAGTTTCACTCTTTATACTGCTTCCTTCTTTACTCCCGTCAGTGCATTTAACATGAAATCTCAGCCTTCATATTTACATGGGTTATATAAGAATAACTGGCTCATGATTACACGGTTAAATACAAATTGCTGGTGAATTACTTTTTGTAAATATACATACTAAAAGTGCATGAGAACACCTGACACATCTACAAATCCCAATGGACTGGCTTCAAAATCCTGCTTTCAGGAACAAAAATATTTCAATTCATTTAATTCAAACTTTTAAAATGAACTTGAAATAATGTACGTCATTGTTTACAGGTCACTTTACCTTTCTTTGTGGATGGGAGCATCATTAAGACAAACGGCTGTCAGTTTTTACTGATATAAAAACTTGATTTAAACCTGTTGACAGTTTAGAGCAGGTCTCCTCTTATGCAGGTGTCAGTGTACAAAGGAAAGAAATATTAACAATAACAATAATAATATGTAGATGTTTGCAGTGTGTTGGGTCCTCTTGGCCTCCATACTCGTCTGCTGAGATTTCAGCTCAGTGAGCGAACTGTTGGCCAGCCAGCAGCTTCATTAACAAACAAGCTGCTGTGGAGCACAAATCAAGTGTATTTACAATGAGACAAAACACAATCTGCTGCCAACAGCTGAGGACCTCCAATATGGCCGACCTTTTCCAGGCTGCTGCTGTACTTCCACGTTATTTACACTGAGATTTAATACGTTCAGTACTGAAACAATATGTCAGACATGAAGTGAAGTACAGTTAACGTGAGGACACAGAGACATAAGAGTGGAAATAGGCACAAAACTCCTTGTTTGTTGTTTAAATCCTGTTCAGACAACTGATTGGAACCAGGATTTTACCACCTCACCTCCCCTTTAGATACCACATGTCTTTCAGGTTTTATTTTCCAACACTAATGTTTCCAAGCTGCTGAGAAGAAAGCTCTTATGGATAAATACTCCTTCAGGATATAGTAAATGTTTTATTGGGGTGAAATAGTGAAATTTAAAAGTAATAAGTCTAAAAATACTGTGATTTCAGGCTATATAAATGATTTTGACTTGACAATGAATTTCAATAGATTAATGAATCTACTAATTGTAGTAAACACTGTGTGTGTGTGTCTCAGGAAACCTCAGCAGGAACTGTACAGAGAAAGGTTGGTCTGACGTCTACCCCGCCATCATCATCGCCTGCTGGTCCAACAACACAGATGAACCCAACGAGGTGAGTTCAGTGTATGTTAGCTTTCTGGGTGCAGTTATGTTTGTATTGTACGTGTGTGTGTGTGTGTGTGTGTGTGTGTGTGTGTGTGTGTGGGTGGGTACGGTTGATGATGAGTGTGTGCAGTGCAGGAGATTATCTGATCAGAGCCCTGTGTGTTCAGTTTCATCTCCACTGAGAGGCTGCTGCATGCTGCTTCATGTCTGCATGTCTGACACAAGCAACGTTGTGATAAACTGCCCTAAATGGACCCAAAGTCCCAAAGTGCACCAATTAGCATTACTGGCTGCAGAGTAATAAGTTTATTTCATTGATTACCAACCTGTTGGTCAGGAAATTTGCTTTTCCTGTGAAACGTGATAACTTCACCTCTTCAGGCCTCTAACAAAAGATACAGACCAAGACATTCCAAGGAGAAATCATCTTTTTGTGGACATGTTGTGTTGAGACACACAGCTTAGACCAATACAAATCCAGTTAAATAATCAAAAACACAGTTTAGATCCTCGCAAATTCAGTTTAATTTTAGAAACCCAATTTAGAGCATTACAAATCCATTTAAATCATCCTAAACCCATTTTTTTTAAATCAAGTTAAATCACCACAAACCCAGTTTATACCAATAACAATCTATTTAAATCCGCAGAAACTCAGTTTAGAGCATTACTGATCCAGTTAAATGACCAGAAACCCAATTTAGACCATTTTAAATCCTGTTAAATCATCAGAAACCCAGTTTAGACTCTTACATTATTCCAGGCCTCTAACAAATGATATAGTCTGAGACATTCCAGGGAGAAATCATCTTTTTTTTGGACAAACTGTGATGAGAAACAAAGTTTAGACCGCTTAAAAGGTTCAGGCAAAACGCCATTAAATACCACAATGGTTTCCTTTTGTATTCTTGATGAAGACAAGTGCACATGTGAAGTCCCACGCAGCAGAACAGAGAGTGCTTTTTAGTACATATCACAGACTCTGTTATCAGTTGACACGGTGTCAACGCGTAATAGGATCATATCTCTCTTTTGACCCACTTTGAATACTTTGTTTGACAGCACATAGCAAAACCACAGACCCAGTTTTTAAACAGCAGATTGATCTGATTTTTAAAAAGCTAACCACAGACTGGTTTCAGTGAGCATTTTTGGTGAAACTTGTCTTCAGTGCAGAAAGATAAAACTCTTTCAGCTCATGTCAGGTCATATCAGGTCATGTCAGTATGAGATTATTTGGAGCAGGTGTCAGTGTGGTCGATGTCAGTTCTCCTGAGCTCCTGCTTCAATCAGGAGTCCATGATAAGAAATGAGGTCTGTTCTCGCAGACAAAATTCATTCATTCATCCATCTTCTAACTGCTTCATCCTCTTGAGGGTCGCGGGGGGACTGGAGCCTATCCCAGCTGACATCGGGCGAGAGGCAGGGTACACCCTGGACAGGTCGTCAGACTGTCGCAAGGCTGACACATAGAGACAGACAACCATTCACACTCACATTCACACCTATGGACAAATTAACCTAATCCCCAATCTGCATGTCTTTGGACTGTGGGAGGAAGCCAGAGTGCCCGGGGAGAACCCACGCTGACACGGGAAGAACATGCAAACTCCGCATAGAAGGGCTCCCACACCAGGGATCGAACCGGCAACCCTCTTGCTGTGAGGCGACAGTGCTAACCACCACACCACCGTGCCGCCCGCAGGCAAAATTAAAAAACGAAAAAGAAACACTCTTGTTTCAAACATCACATTTACTCATACTATCTCCACATTACTACATGTAGTACAGTATAGACATATGCTGACATTCACACTGATGTTCCAGCTTTAGCATCCTGGTTGATATCTAATCCAGTAGGCCTATACTTCGGGCTACACAGACCATTCAGACATCCCAATGTTCTGCTCAGTAAGGGCATTTGTTTTTTCTACCTCTTGTGCTTTTCAAAATATTATGCACTTTTTTTTAACAAACTTCTTTAATGTAAGTCAATAAGAAGAACCTTCAGATCCTCTTTAAACCTGCTTTACATCTAAATGTTACTGCTTTCACACACTAGATTTCACCTAAACTTTAATCAGGTCACAGGACTTTGAATTAATTTCAATTTTTACATGTCCATGCATGTTGTATGTATGTTGTATTAGGATAAACCTCTTGAGATGTGTCATCCCATTTTCAAGCGGGTCCCAAAACAAACATTCATGAGACAAATGGAAAACTGAACAATACTAGAAACAGTGTTATAAGATATAACAATTAAAAAACAATCAACAATCCAACAAAAAGCAAACTAACAAAAATAAAAAGGACAGGAAAAATTTGCAAAGACCTCAAACCAGATCTTAACATACAAACTGATGCTTAAAGGTCCAGTGTGTGAGATTCAGGGGATTTAATGGCATCTAGTGGTGAGGATTGCAGATTGCAACCAGCTGAAACTTCTCCTGGTTATAATTCCTTCAGTGCTTATTGTCAAGGAGGTTTTACCAGGAGCTGAATTATCCACAGAGGTCTCTTCCTCTCCAAAACAAATGGACCCGGTGATTAAAATTGCCCAGGAAAGCTTGCCTAGGGTGCTGAATGTGCTAGGTCTGGCACCATTCCAGATGTTCAGGTTTTTACTGGGAGCTGAATTATCCACAGAGGTCTCTTCCTCTCCAAAACAAACAGACCCATTGATTTAAAATTCTAAAACAGAAAAAAGTAGTTTCATGTTACGAAGCAGTGTTTCTTCTGCACTTTTTGGCTCCTTGCAAACCAACTGCTTGCCCAGCACCTGCTAATGTGTGCTCACCTTATTTCTGATGCAGATATTCAGGACGTTTTTATCAGGAGCCTAAATATCTGCAGAGGTCTCCTCCTCTCTAAAACAAATGGACCCACTGATTTAAACTGGTAAAAACACTGAACAAAGTAGTTTCATGACACAAATAAGCTAACTAACACTACTACGGTGGGAGACACGATAACATGACTGTCCAATCTAGAGACAGTGTTTGGTTTGTCCGCTCTGGGCTACTGTAGATGAGGACTTACTCCCTATGTAGATATAACAGCTCGTTCTAAGGTAATGAAAACACAATGATTTTTTTAGGTGATTAAATACTTAAGAAAATATACTTATGATATTATATTCCATGTCTGCCAATATATCCCCCTAAATCCTACATACTGAACCTTAAACTTAAGACTTAAGACTCATCACTAACAGGAGGAATGGTTATGGCGCCAGACTATAGTTTCAAGACAGACTTTTAAATATGTGAACATGTCCTTTAAAAATGAGGCTTTTAGATGTGAAAATGTGACAATATGCAAGCAGAGCGGTGAGCTTAAAACAAAATAATAAGCAAATGAATCGTTCTCTCAAAATAAATGAGCTGGCTAAGTTTTGTAAAATCAAACAAACAGAAGAAAAAAAAACAGGGCCGCGTGTGACTTGTAACAGTGATAAAATAACTTTCAAAATACACACAATACTTATCCACCTTATTTTCAAACACGGAAGTAAATAGTGATCAACTTCCGTTTTTTTGTGCGTGACTTCCAGTCAGCTGCTTTCCCTCATGCTTTCCCTTACCGGAGCTAACGGTGCAAGCTAATTTTTTTTCAATTTTCAGTTGTTTATGTTAGTCAATCAGTTAGTTAGTTAGTTAGTTAGTCTGTGTATTTTGTATAACGTTAGATAACTGTGCCCACATTTCCGTTATAACGGAAATTTATTCCCTTTAAACGCGAATAAATCGCACGTCAATCATAAACTATGAACCAAAAAAGCACAATCTATCCTGAGTGAGACAAACTGCTTGATCCCCGTCTCCAGTGTACCAGCAGAGAACCTGCAGAACCGAATCAGTGAAAAAACACACCGGGCTAAGCCTCTCTACCTGAGCAGCTGAAGCTGCGGCTCGCACCCTCAACACACAGACGGTGCTTCTGCATGCCAGCCACACGTGTGTGCAACTGTGAAAAATAAATATGTGAGGTGTACGCTGCTTTTCTATCTTTTTTTCCCTTTTCTTTCTTTCTTTCTCTCTGTCAGCGACATACACTCCTAACACAGGACGGGTTGTTTTAATTGACTGAGTTGATCGTTAAGCCATAGTGATGCACGGATCGGCTCTGATAGCACCTGAATCAGCATGTACGCATCAACCATCCAGCCGTTACAACGTGATTGAGCTAGCAAAGCAGTTTTGTGTTGCTATGTGTGGTATTTATTCAGTTTTGGGAAATCACGATATCTAGAAAGCATCAGTGGCTGCAGCTGACAGGGACAGCTAACGTTAACACTAGCAGCAAAGCTAACATCAGGATCGTCATCCGTTAAAAGCCTCCCGTTGTCGGATACGACATGAAACTACTCCACTTAGCTCAATCATGTTGTAACTAAGACATCCGCTGGAGAAAATATTTTTTTCACGGGCCACTTTGTGAGTTTAGTGAGTTATTACAGACACGGCTAACGGCTAACAGCTAACGGTTAGCCCAGCTGATCTACGATAACCATGTTATTAATTACTAGGGTTGCCACCTTGGATTTGTGGAAAAAAAGGGACACTCGACCAAATGTTTGAGGCGGAGGGCTCGGCCATTATTACCAGTTCAGACTGACCAATGAACATGAAATTCGGACATAGGAGACCAGATTTGCCATCATTCCATGTCCTTCTATGTGCCTGTATTTTATATTAATTTTTATATCAATGAAAAAAAACAAATCTGTGTTACCAAATTCTTACATGTTTACATGTATCTCACCATAGCAAGTTGGAAGTTGACATATTCTGCCATATATGAAGAGGGGAGACTCTCTGGAATCTGGCAATATAAGAACCATGATGGTGGGACAGTCTGTCACTTGTCCAAAACATGTGGTTTGTGCCAGGCGGACATGATTGCCAGTATTTTTTCATTATTGCAAGAAATTCCATTGACTCATTCACAAGTCAAAAATTTCTTTTATCTGAAAGAAACATGCAAAATTTACATCTAAGACCA